CTCGATGGTACAGAAAAACGAAAGTGGACTTTGGCATGATCACACCCGGGTGGGTTACTCTGTACCAATGCACGGGTATCCGTTAATCCTCACGAAATAATCAGGTCCAAAGTGTTGTCCAGTCTCTTTGGGGTCACAACATGCTGAATCCAACCTCCAAGTTCAATGCAATTCAAAAATTGTCTAAGATGATGTGGGGCATTACGTGTAGCCCAGCATATTTCTAGTGAATGGAAATCACCAGCTATTAGCTCAGGACCAGTAGGGAGGTTGCTCAATAAATTCACAGCACTGATAATAGTCATGAAGCTGTTGGCACTTTGTCTGGGTAAACGATAGACACATTCTAACAGTAGCTCTTGGCCCTCAGCCTCAACGCTTAGCCATATGAAGTCATCTATACCATCTAGGATGGGATGCTAAAAGCATGATATGGGGATAGTTTCCTTTGCGTAGATTAAGACTCCACCACCGCGTTTATTCGCACTGTTGTTGACAAAATATTTATAGCCACAAAACGCGATGGCACTCATGGGAGTAGATGCGGGTAACCAAGTTTCATTCACCAAAATGTAGTCATAGTCTCCTGTTATCGCGACAATTCGAATACGGTTCATTTTGTTAAGAACTGAGCGTGAATTAATCACCAATAAAGAGAAAGATCGACTTTTATGTTCGACACTTGGAGAACCATTCGGGGTGGGATATGTAATCACTCGAGAGTGTGAAGGTGATGAGGGGTCAACATATCGGGACAGGGGACGGGGACAAGGAATGTGAGTTCTTGGATTTGATCTGGAAAAATTGGACGGGAATTGAGATGGTACGTTTAGGGATACAACATAACGTTCACATTGAATTGGTGTCAGGTGGTATGATTTGGATGGGAAAATTGAGGTATTTGTATCTATGACGGGTAAGACAAGGCGGAGCTTTGTCTTCGTGAAATAACTGGTTAGTAGTAATATGAAACAGTTGTGTGGTAATGGATTGGAAATACGGAGGTGGAGGCAGAAAATAGGGAAAAGGTGGATAAGGGATTCTTTCAGGATAGGATTGTAAAGCCAGGTGTTTGGTGGAACTGGTCAAAAGATCTCCATTGTTTAGACTGTGTGAGTAGTACTGCAGATGTTGACCTACGGAGTTAGTCGCAGTATTAGTGTGTCTTTGAAGTGTTCTCCATCGCAAGGAGAGAATTTCTATTCATTGAATGAGGTAATCTTGGATGGGACAGAACCGGATTGTGCCTAAGCGCCGGATCCCATTTTGGGTGTTTTTGCGGTGATGGACCAAGAGTTACTACGGAGTTTTTATCTCGCAATTTAGAAAGAGTATCCGTGTTGCGTTCCAAGCTTGGGGATTGCGAGCATAATGTTGCGACTTCTCTAGAGTTCAGTCGGGGGCCAATGGGCACCGATAGGAGCTAATAAGTAGTTGTCGCGGTGAGCAGTCACTTACATTATTCCGGTTTATATTTCCATGATTCGTAGGGGATTCAGTGGGTGGGGCTGAAAGGTGCTGGCGTTTGCTAGGAGGATCCACCGGTGAGGGTGAAATCGTTTTATCCAAGTCAACTGTAGTAACTTGTGTTCTTATTACTGGTGACTGACGTTGGTACAATGTGGGAATTGATTTTCTTAGTTTGGGAGTAAAAGATGCACATTCTGAACTCCTACACTCCAAAGGATAGTTATTGGATGATCTGGTGATCTCTCTTTGCAGAGGGGTCTTGTCAGGTTGAATCTTTATTCATTTAAACTGCGATCAATTCGCTATAGTAGGCTGTTCTCGGATGAATTCCTTAGCTACTTTTTCATCCTGAAATTGGAAAAGCAGGGAACAAGCGTATTTCTGCATTCTTTTTCGCAGCCTGAAGCAATTACATGAAACATGTAAAATGTTTGCGGATTAAGAGATTTTGATTTTCACATCAGAAAGTATAAGGCAGTCGGGTACGTTAAAAACCACGGCATTCTTTGCATTTTGCAAGCGTCTCATAACCTCAACAGAGACTGAGTCGAGAAACTGGCTGGCTGCAATTATACTCTGTGAACCGGTGAGTGTCTTGGGGTCGATTATATACGAAAAGGGGGCTAGTTTTGCCGCAATGTTTTCAAAAGAAAATAGCTGATTTGTTAACTTAGTTAGATTATTCTCAATAATCTTAGTTCATTTTACTACCCTCCTCAATCGTTTTCTTTCAATCGGTCATTTCCCCGAGATTCTGTTGCTTTAGGTATTCTGGAACTGCTGGTCTTAAAATATCTTTTTCGAAAAGACATATTGTATCTTTTATTCAAGTGGATTATTCATGGGATTACCAGGTAACTTCACAGAAGTAGTCTGTGCTGTAAAATTGTCGATAAACTACAGAAACACGATAAATGGTTGCGAGACAATATATACGACGTCCTTGAATTTATGACTGAGTTCAAGGACAAAATATTTACTTTATCTAATACCGGTGAACAATATTATAAATAATATTGTCAAAATAATTTTTTTCGAAATACACAAAAGCAAAAGCTTTAAAACAACCTTCAATTGCAATTATCACAGTCAACGTATCATTGGTTCAACTGCGGTAACCCGGCTCGAAACCCGTCCAATGCATCAGGTGGTACCGCCAAAGTTTACCCTAAGCGTATAAAGTAATGCACATGAGTTGCCTGTTACTTACTTTGTACGATCAAATGGCACATTTGTTTGACTAAGGGCAAACCGAATTTTGGAAGCCTTGAAGTCACAATGATGCATTCTTTGTGACAACTGGATGGCCTTACTACAAATTATACTTTCCATCAAGAGGGTATCCGTCGTGTGTTTCACTCAGCAGTAAACCAAGCCAAAGTTGCTTCTTTCACTGTCTTGATTTTTTCGTTGGTTTTCAGGTGCGATCTATCCTCAGCTACTCCAATGTTCACAAATTTTCCGACAGCTGTTCGAGGGGATGTAACAATGTAGACAGATTTTTCTTGAAATTCCAAGTGACTTGGCCTCGGAAATCTAATTTGCACCTGAATGGTTTAGCATTCTGCTTCTCTCTGACAGATAGACGCTTGTATACTTGAAATCAAGTGGCACTTCCTTGATTGTTAGCATCAGTGTCTCTTCCTCGCACGGATTAACCAATCAGTGAACAGTGCCGTGAACGCGATGCTACAGGTTGGCTGGTCAGTGGCCGTCCCGAACATCAGTCAACGACCAAGTAAGTAAATATCAGAAAGTGCAGGTATTGATGGGTGGAATAATGCATAGTCAGAAACTAGATCATTAAGCATACAGTTGGTTTGAGTTTTTGAAAAAGTGGGAAGACGTTGGAAAATGCGACTTCCGATGGGTGCGACGCAGGTGTAACGATCAAAACACGATTGTCCTGGTCCCGTAGCCTTCCAATCAAATAACTCTTCGCTCGTTCTGGATAGCGATAATCNGGAGCCACAAAAACAACAATCAACACCGTTGTTTACAAAACTGTACCCCATATTATCGAGAACCAAGTCGATCAAAAAATAATCTGCGGTACTATTTTGGCAATAATCAAAAAATGCATAAGGTAGTTGTTTTGTCACAAATTAAGTATGTAAATGAGCACATAACGAATAAAGCAAGCAGCAAATATGTAGCCAGTACAAAAACCGAAGAACAAGTAGGAACGATCAATGTGTAGGAAAGCAGGTAGGCAGAGTCCGGATCACACGTTTCACTACATGCGCATGCTGTCAAGCAAGCATTGAAACAGTCAGTTAATCGATCAATCAATCACTCTGGCCACAGCCATGTATAGCAAGCAAATCAGTCATTTGTAGACCACAACATATCTCTGATAGTGAGCGTAAATCACTACCTAGCCAAAACGTTACAAATAATCACAGGAATATATGTGGTAATAAAAGGTAAGTGGGAAAATGAGTGATTCGAATTACTTTTCAGATAATTCTGGACAAATAGGAAAATTCTGAACGCATCAACATATCAAGCAAACTAATTTTAAGCGTTAGAGCCAAAAGGAGTCCAAGATAATCGCAGGCCATGAGTGAATAAACAAAGAGCTCCCAATCAAAACTGATGTCGTAATAAAACAAGGAACAGCACCCCGTTTCATTTATACATAAATACAAAGCAGAACCAGAAATAGTGCAGAATACGTTGGATCATGAATGCGATAGTCAGGGCGCGTATACGGCTCGGTAAATATGAAAATGAGAAACACGTGGTGTAGCAACCGCAGATAGGCAAATGCGTACGCATTCAGTTCACAACTGCAAAATAAATGCTCAACAAATATTGAGTCAAACTCGTGGTAAAGTATTGCTATGCATTGTGCAATGTTTTAAATTCGAGTTTCACCTACTTTGGAAACGTGCCGGAAAAACGATCCTGCGACCAGAACGTGAGACAGAAGTCTCGTTTGATGATCGAGATAAAGCTGCATTGGGTTGACTTGGACATGAGACCTGGGTTGCGTCCGAAGTCGTAACCGTTGCGCGAGGCTGCTGGTCTGAATGCAAAGCGAATGAGTTATCCGAAACAGTGGCAGGAAGTAGTGGTTGCCGACTCGAATGTGAGGGTGACAACTCATTGTTGTTATTATTATTACTATTATTATTATTATTATTATTCGGACTCGTGGCAAGTTGTGGAGGCTGCCAGCTAAGACGTGAAGCAAATGCTTCATCTAAACTGTTACAGCGGGAGAATAATGCGATCCTGAACGTGAGACGGGTGTCCCGTTCGGATGTTGAGAGGGATTAGCAGAATGTTCAGTGTTAGCGTTAATTATGAATAAATCATCGATATAGACGTGAACTAAATCTAAGTCTCGTGTGATACTATCGATAAACCTTTGGAAAGTTTGAGTAGTATTTCGCAAACCAAAAGGCATACGTAGGACCTGAAACAGACGAAGATGAGTCGTGACGTTAGTTGTTTCAACGTCTTCAGGAGCGACTGGGATTTGGGGGTAGGCCCACACCAACTCTATTTTCGAAAAAACAGTCGNCGAACCATGAAGTGACGCCGTGATGTTGTGTATGTGGGGAATAGGGTAACCATCGAAACGAGTCACTGCGTCCAGTGCTGGATAATCGTCACACGGTCGCCAGCTACTGCCATCGCTTTTAAGAGCCATGTGCATAGGAGAGGCCCATGGACTGTGAGAAGAACGAACAAAGCTTTCTGAAATTAAAGCGTCGAATTGAACCTTAGCAAAAGCTAATTTATCCGGTGACAGTCGGCGAGGTGGTGCCTTGACTGGTGATTCTTTAGTCACTATGTGGTGAGCCCCACGATCAACAGGTTTATTCAAATTGGGGAAGAGTTCCATCAGCTAGCGGAATGAGTCGAGCGAATCAGGTAAGATACCTGTGATTCGGTGAACGTCTTTGCGACCTTTGAGGCCCGTGAATTTATCGTTCGAAGAAGTATCAATCAACCGCAGTCTACGTGAGTCAATGAGTAACTCAAAGAATGGCTGTTCATGAATGCAATGTGGTTTGCCACGCTGTGCAGAAAGTGGCGGGGTAGACTGATGGGAAGTCGTGGCAACGAGCAAAGGCTCGGCGTTGCTGACACGAGACATAATTTTGTCTACGATGGAAGCGACCTTATCGAGCAAGGTGTCTTCCAGGAGGGCTGTTACTGTGGTCTGAACATGGACGGATAAGGACTCGATCCATAGCTCCCTGACGATATCCGAACGGGCATCGTCAGGTCGGGTGAGGGATCTCAGGTGAGCTAGATGCTGGCTGGGCTCGGCGGCACCCATTGGGCAGCGTGCCAATAGCTTCCGCAGTCGTTCCTCCTTGGATTGAAGGAGAGCATCGAGGATGGCTGATTTCAATTTCTCAAAAGGGTACTCCTTGAAGGGATTCAAAACTAAATCCCGCAAAGGAGAAGGCTTGTATATAATTACTCCCAGTTCCTTAACTTCTCTCTCTTGAGCTGGATTACATTCTGTATATCAAGTTCAGCTTCTGCTGTTAGAAGCTGACACTTAGCTAGGTTGAGCGGAAGATCCCACTTTTCGAACCNAACAGCCTGCAGGTCCTGATATACGTTCGTTCCCGCCACTTTGAAGTCGTCCGCGAAAATTAAGCACGGCTTGTTGATTCCCCGTGGTAGATCGGTGATGAACATCAAGAATAGCAGTGGGCCTAGCCGGCATCGATAATTGCATACGAAACTTGACCTGGAAGGTGCGGTTAGTTATAAAGCAGTAGACCCACTTTCTAACTTTCCCCCCAATTAAAATAGTTGCATTTTATGGGGTCTAAAGCCTGATGACTTACCGAGTCAAAGGCTTTGCTAAAGTCTAGGTAATGTGTGGGCACATCATCGAATTGCGTTCTGGACTATCGATAAAGTGTAGGCATATAAAATCTGGTACCAAAAAACAATTTTTAGTTCTTTTTCCAAATGGAATTGAACTACAATGTGCAGAAAGTATTACAAGGAACATTGTTTCCTTCATTTGTTTTAATCATTTCTTTTAATTGTCCTCGTTTCTGGCGTTATTTTAATAAGGCTATCAGAAGCCGTTTCCCGTCGACAATGATTACGAGACTACCTCCGGGCATGAACTTAGCGATATTTATCCTATGTGTAATTCTTTCAGCTTACTCTAATGGAATTGAGATCAAAAGTGTGACCCACAAGGTGTTAACTCCGAAAGTTTCTTCAAAGGATATCGAAGCTGCTTTCGACAATGACGAATCAACGCAAGCCCTGTTTCATACAGAAAAGGGCGAAAAAATGGTTGCATTGATAACTCTTCCAGCGGAGTATGAGGTTGAAGCTGTAGAAATAATATGTGAGTTCCATTGCATATACATCCTCTTGATCAAGGGGATACTCGTGCTAACTGTTATATATATATATATATATATATATATATATATATATATGTGTGTGTGAGTAGGCACTGTGGGAATCCTCAGGCGGATTCCTTTACTAAAATGGATTACGACAATGTATGCTGTCACTATCAGTTTCAGTATATACTGATATATCAATGTGGTAAATATTTCCCAATGCCCCCTCCCCACCCTAATTCAAGGTTTCATGCCAAATAATTGCCAGAAATTTGTTATCGATACACGCAAGAGCTACGTCTACTAGTAGCAGGTATATGTGGTACTTTTACAGTATTCCGTAAAGCCACGTCGGATTCAGTAAAGATTATGACTATGGTCATGACCACAACCCAGGCTGTTCTTGAACCTTTTCTGTTTACGAAAAGTGTTTGGACACCAACTTGTCTAGAACCCAGTTTCCGATAGAGTAGCTCCAGGAGCCACACGGTTTGTAGAGAGACATTTCATGAAGTATGACTATGAACAATACCGCTCTATGAGCACTTGACACTTATCTTCATATATCATAGTTTAATTTATTTACTAGGTTATATTGTACAAATCGCGTTCAATGGATTGTATTAGTCACCATTTTGCACACATTGAGCAATAATAAATTGACCGGTAATGCTGAATAATTATTGAGTATACTGTTNGAGTATACTGTTCTAGAAAGAGTCTCACCGGGATGCTAATTGATCCCTAATGGGATTGTAAAAATAAGAGTCCTACCGGGACTACAATAGTACTCTAAAGGGACGAAGAATAAATGGGAGACGAATAAATGATGTCATCCAAATGCTTCTCTAATGGAAACAGAAAACTGTCCCATGTGAGGTTAGGGCTAGTAACACATAGGAAAAAACAATGGATAAAAGAACATTTATTAAATGGTTGCAAAATTATCCGCATTTTCAGCTCAGGTCTTCAGATCGAAAACAAGCTGACGCCTAACCTGTGTTTATATTCATACATCAGTAAGATTTAACATCTCCTCTGGTGCTGCAAAGAAACTTTATTGCCGTGAATTTCGACAATCAGTTGAACTGTTGAGGACATATGTTCTATAACTTTTCGACAGGTATCATAACGATCAAAAATGTTTGGGGTTTACTTCAGGAAATACTGATGAAAAGTTTATCACAAAGAGGTAGGTGGGGATAACGACTCTTGTTACCATTGTAGGGTCTCACTTCCGCGCCCACATCAGGGACCGCTAGTTGTAACACGGTCAGCACTGGCTAGCAAGGAAAGCATCATTTCTCCTTTTGTGTGATATGTTTTGTATGCATCTGTGAGTTTTACGGGCTGTATTTGGGAGCGTAATGTACTAACGTGGTAAACTTTTGTGCCAGGTTTGCCGTGGATTTTTTTTTGAATTTCTTCTGGGACTCCAAAACAAAGAAACTTTTAGGTGAAAACTGCTGCCAGGATACTCCACTTCTTTTATCACATAAAAGTCAACCGGAGACTAACAGGAGTACATCACTATGGCGTCCCATATTTATGCTAGTTCCTGCGATTATAAAACGGTGGCCACTCTTTTTGGACTTCCTTTTGTATGTGAAAGCCCCGTAATTGGATCTGACGTTGCATAAAAAATCACATAGATTTAGTTGTAGTTCAACACGTTTCTTGCAGTTTGAAAACTGTGATGGCTGCAATGGTTGCAAATCAAAGTGTCTAACTGTCTGCTGCTGTATCCATCGGATAACATTGTTGAATTTACCTCCAAGTCTGTTCTTCACGACATTTTATGCCGTCGTTTGAAAAGGCTTGCATATCACAACGTCCGTACATTATAGAACTACTTGAGGAAATAATGTCGCTGAAAGTCAAGCTATTGCCTTTCTACCTACGAAGGATAACTTTCCTGTTACACCCGTTTGATTCGTAAACGTCAGTAAATTCTCTGAGTATAACAATCTCAGAATCTCTCTGGCACATCTTTTACTAGCTTTAAATGACATATTTATCTGTCGACTAAGCAATTTACATTTTTGTTACTCACCTAAATTCAGGCACATTTGCCTTGCTTCGCACAACCATAGAATTTACTTTTGATTCATAGATTCAGTGATTAATACACGTATTTGATGCTTTGCTTTAAATAATAAAAACGAATTTATCTTTGGCAGCAAAACCCTCCAATTCAGTGCTATGGATCTAATTGTTTTTCTATCCTGAGCCACGGTATACAGACATTTGCTTAGTATCGAATTTTTTTTTACTGTAAATATTCTCAACATGTTACCCAAAATTGATGTTAAAATATGTTTTAGTGTTTAGTGACACCGAATTTATCAGAGGATGTCACTTTCTATGGGTTTTTCTCCTTTTAGTTCGTTTGACGAAAAAAGACCAAATGTTGATTGAAAGACTACGACTTCTTTCATAAAAGCTTTTAATATTGCAAGAGATTTGCGACCAAATTGAGCTAGTATTTCTACATGCTAGTCAAGTTATTTTCAATTTATTTTTTGTTGATAACTGGTTTGTGTCTACCACAATCCACTTTGCTTACTAAATGACTGAAGTAGTATCGTGTTTTACCCAAACAAAAGAGGTGACATTGCTGAAAATAAATCGTTATATCAGGAGTCATTAATCTCTAGTAACCACAAATTAGTTTTCGTTAAATCATTAATGAGCGCGCTGCCTGAGTATACATTCCCCCTTTATTAACGGAAAGCACCGGAGAGTTAAAGTTAACGCAGATTTTCTAAGTTCATTCGTAGAGTAGGGTCTGAATACTTGAGTATCAGTTTTACATTTTATTTATTCACTGTTAGTCTCCCTTGTCATTTAAAGCATTGCATTGAGACATATATCAACTCATTGAGTATAAAGTCAAATATTAACACACTTTGCTCTATTTTGGAGCCTAAGGTAGATCATCCTTTCTCCAAAGAAGAGAAAAAGAAAGGTCGCACATACCTTGTGTCTGTGTGATAAAACATGCTTTACGTTTGCAAAACCCTTAATTGGCATGTGGAAGACATTACATATTCAGAGCTCTTTGAGCATCTATGCCTACTTTGTTTGGCTGATATTGAGTGAATGAAGCTTGTAAGCAACACGGAAGTAAGCCGACGAGTATTCGGAAACGGTTTGCTGGTCAGAACGCGCATCACACAAACCTGGTTGTTAGCTAACGCATCGCATCTTATTTATTTACTTTTACGTCATGTGTAAAGCTGCGCTTCCTTGCATTATCGTTAAAGAGGTAACCAAATTTGCGTATTTTGTGAACGAGAAAGTTCATAATTTGTAATTAGCTGTGATCCACAAATACATTTTCAATGATATAATGAATTAAAGTTGAAAGACCAACGTCTTCGAAATTCGCATTCTAATTTCTTTTACCGTTGAGCACATTTGGTTGTTTATAGAAGAATTAAGCAAAATGAAATTCCTATCCATTGGGTTAAATTCATTTTTAATTGTAAGAAATAAAATTTGAAATCACAAGAAGAAGAACAGATAGAGAACACGATCGAAACAATGAGACTCTTTTTTAGAAGTATTCATCGATGTAATACTTTCAAGCTGACTTTTATGCCACTTACTCTAGTGTATAGGTGATTTGGCTTCCCCAGCACTATATGCCGGCGTGTGCCAAGGTTAAGTTAATTAGGAATCAATTATTATACCATATTTGGAGGATCAAAATTCCGTTGAAACCCAAGCGTTCTATTTGTACCTGGAGTGTGGTATTCCAACCGATTACCAAGACAACAGTACCATTCAAAGTAGGACGTTGATAAGAGAGCTCTTCTTGGGAGTTTTGCGGCAAGGTGCTATAAGCCATGGCTTAACCAATAAAATTACAAAATTGCAGTAGTATAGAAAGATTTCCCGTGAAAAAGAGCACCAGTGGATTTTATCCTTAGAATCGACAGTTCCATGTTGACTGGGCGATATATATATATGTATATATGCCAAGTCTTTGGAGGTTTTTGGTCCTTACTGGCAACACCCCGCAACCGTAGTTTAGGGTAAGACAGATGACAACTGCTTATAGCTGCACCTTTATTTGGAGGCTAATTTTGTGGCATACCCTTAGTGTTCAGGAGAGCTTTTGGAAAGTCGATTTAGCGACATCGATTCCTAGCCGAATTTTAGCTTTGAATTGTCCTTGGGGTTGAACGGCGAAAAAGAGGTATTTAAAACCTGGGTGAAATTTATTTGCTCATCGTTGATTTTGGCAGGACCTTATTTTGGCGCACCACGGTCAACTTTGTTTTTGGTAATAAATATATTTATTTCTAAGCAAAAGGGGCTGCGCAGTTGATACCTGCCTTTAGTGTGTCTTGGGTGCCTCTTAGAATGATGATTTCATCTACAAACTGAAGGTTTGTGGTTCCGTTATCTGCGTCAAGTTGCACTGCAAGTCAGCTAGCAAGAGAACGGTTCATTGTCCGGTCAATATCGCAGAGAAACACAGTAGAACAAAACACCGGGTTGCCTTGTCAAAAACCCACTTTGAAAATAAACCCTGAAGACCCCTTTTTGCAAGTAAGAACCTGAGCTGGGGTATTCACGCAGTATGTTTCTACGAGTTTTACATTCTTTCATGCATATCATTTGCTTTTGTAATGTTCCTTAACAAAATTCTCTGGAAAGAATCAAAGTAAACGCGAAAGAGAAAAAAACACAGGTCGAGTGTTGATAGTTAGAATCTGTACTGGTGTTCGAAGTTCCCATGGAGAATACTTATTTGATCAATACAGTACATTCTATAAAGAAAACGGCCTTAGTTGTGCGCGGAGCGGATGCGCGCGTCACTTGTCGTGGCAAAGCGATCAGACAGAACTACTGTGAGTAGCTAGGCAACTATTTGGATCAAATGAACGCATCGGTAGTTCCTGCCCACATTCTTGTCACCTTTTGGAGAAGATGCAGCAACATAGATATAGCTCAGTTTTTTTTGGAAGGTCTCCGTTCCCTAGGTTAC